AAGACGCGGAGATGGCAAAGAAACTATGGGATTTCACCATGGATTTGACTAAATGATCTTCTGAAAACTTAAACTCTATATAAAGACTTAAAAAGAATGCGCTTTGCACTGTCGTTCTAAGATTCATATAGCCGATCTCACTTAATGGGATCATGCTTAGTGGTGGTGGTTTGTTGTTTGAATAATAGACTCCAAGAATGCTGTAACTTATAACTCAGTAGTTGAACAATATCCTTTCAAGGTGAATAAACTCCTTTTTTCTGCTCGAAGCCAGTTGTTTTGATTCGAGATTACTTTTCGTTTGATATCTTGTATCAAGTTTAAGAATTTCATCTTCGAAACAAAATGCCGTTGTTCGGGTGCTTATTGATGGACTGATGACATTTTCACTTGACATTCATTACGAAAAGACCAGAGAAGTTGAAGATGTATAAGAGATAACCATGCAGTTAGATTTCTTCGTTTCACTTGAGTGACGATGATACAACAAAACAGGTAGTGCAAGACAACATTATACCATGTTAAACATAGATGTCCAACCTACTGAAAATATCACAAGATGGAACAATTTCAACAAGCTATGTCATTTTTAATATATAATAGTATGATTAAAATATAATACGAAATAAAGAATATCTAAAATTAAGAATAAACATGATAAAATAAGAATATGCATGCTTATATATATATATATATATATATATATATATTACTAAGTTTGAGAAATTTCGGATCTAATAGGTATATTCAGATGTCATCGAAATTTTTCAGAATAAAAAATATTCAGACTAAGAATAGAAATTTTCAATCAAACTTTCACCCCTAAGTAAGAGGGAACAAAAAAAGAATCTTTATTTTATCTGTTTTTATAGATGTTTTTTTAATAATGTACGTACTATTTTATCCTCTTTTTTTTTTTTTTTGCTCAATAATATAAATTCTTGCATAAAAAACCTAACTAAATTAAATATAATTGATATCCAAGAATTTTACTGTTAATTTCGTTCAAGCATTTTGTAATAAAATATTACACATGTCGTACTATGATGTTAAAATGCAAGTTGTGGAATAGTATTGGTGTGGTTAGTATTGAATTGTTAACATGTCCCTATAAATTGAGCTCGATTGACCCTGAGTTTAAAACCGTGAAGTCCCAAATTGAAACTGAATTAGTTCAGTTCTTCAGTTTGGTTTGTTTGTCCTAAAACATTTTGACAAGAATTGGAACGAGGCAAACCGAATAAATCTTATTAGTTTAGTTTTCAATTTTGAGGATAAACTAAGTCAAATAGAACCAGGTTCAACTTATTGAAAATGTCACGATGCCAAACAATTTCAACAAGCTATGTCAATAACTGGAAACATTGTACAAGACGGTGGAGTTTGCAAAACAAAATTAAATCCAAATTACAAGATAAACCCAAATAAATCAACTCATGAACAATAAATTCATGAATAAGATGATGATAGTTGTGCTAATTGAATTGACCTTTCCAAACTTTGTGTCAAAAAATTAGACACGAAAGACAATATAGGCTACAGAGGCTCCACCACCAAAGCAAAGAAAATAATACTTCACCAAAACTGTCACTAAAAACCATACTTAGAGACTTTCCCTTCTCTTTGCGTGCAGAGGGAGAGAGGGAGAGAGGGAGAGAAGTAGGCCTAGCAATTCTTGACACAACCCAAGAACTCGACACGACACGACACAACACGATATGAAATTAACAAGTGTTTGGGGACACGATAACAAATCGTGTTATTATCGGGTAACCCGAGAAGCATTTGTTAAGATAATGGGTTGGTTCGGGTATACACGTGAGTAACACAATACACGATAAGTAAAATATTAATTTTATAACCCTAAAAAAATACTCTAATATTTATATATATTAATTTAACAATTTTATACCCTTAAAAACTATAATAATTATATAAATATATATATTAAATTAAATTTAAAAAAAATTGGTGACCATTGGATCGGCTGAGATTTAATCTCAGCTGTCCATTGTGCATTAGGTTGGAGGCTAATATATTTTTATATGGTATAATACTATTGTTTTATTTCTTTTCATAATTATTTTGGTAAACTTATCATAATTTGAATGATTTTTAATGTTTGGTTTTTTTACTTAGTTTATGCGGAAGAAAGTTCTGACGTGGAAAATCTTACTGAAAACACGATCAACATAACTCTTGAAGGCAATAGATCAAGCCAAAATTCCGATACAATTTTCTCATGATGATCAATGAAGATTGAGGATTTTGTAAAAGGAATAACATGCAAGCTTTGAGTTCCATTAGTAAGGTTTAAACTTTTAAGAAAAACTTCATTACCTTGAAAACAAAAACTCTTTCATTTTACATATCCTTGCACATTTAATATTTTGTAGTAAAGTAGTAGTGTATATATGTTTTTTTATTAGGCTCTTACTTTCAAATGTAGATATAGTACTTAAACGACAATAATATTTATGTGGCAATGTGTGGTATGTGTAAATTTAAGAAAAAAATTATATTTTTCTTAACGGGTCATAAACGGTTGGGTAAAATGACCCGACCTGTTAAGGACCTATTAAGATAATGGATGTGACACGACACGACCTGTTAAGATAACAAATGTTATACAAAAATGACACGAACACGACAGACACAACCTATTTGCCAGGCCTAGAGAGAGGGAGGGAAAGGGGAAGAGGGAGGGAGAGAGAGAGAGAGAGAAGAAGAAGACGTGGTTCTTGAGAAGGAAATGGCCATTTGGGCTCTCTTTATCTTCCACAGCAGAGGAAGTTACTGAAGGGATTGATGTCTGTCGCATCCCGGCCCGGGGTCCACCACATCCTGGGCCCGCTCCACCACCTTAGCATGATATTGTCCGCTTTGGGCCCCGACCACGCCCTTACGGTTTTGTTTTTGGGAACTCACACGAGAACTTCCCCGTGGGTCACCCATCATGAGAGTGCTCTCGCGAGCTACTCGCTTAACTTCGGAGTTCCTACGGAACCCGAAGCCAGTGAGCTACCAAAAGGCCTCGCGCTAGGTAGAGATGGGAATATACATTTAAGGATCACTCCCATGGGCGATGTGGGATGTCATAATCCACCCCCCTTAGGGGCCCGACGTCCTCGTCGGCACACCATGGCCAGGGTTAGGCTCTGATACCAAATTGTCACATCCCGGCCCGGGGTCCACCACATCCCGGGCCTGCTTTACCACCTTAGCACGATATTGTCCGCTTTGGGCCCCGACCACGCCCTCACGGTTTTGTTTTTGGGAACTCACACGAGAACTTCCTAGTGGGTCAGCTATCATAGGAGTGCTCTCGCGCGCTGCTCTCTTAACTTCGGAGTTCCTACGGAACCCGAAACCAGTGATCTCCCAAAAGGCCTCGCGCTAGGTAGAGATAGGAATATACATTTAAAGATCACTCCCCTGGGCGATGTGGGATGTCATAATCCACCCCCCTTAGGGGCCCGACGTCTTCGTCAGCACACCACAGCCAGGGTTAGGTTCTGATACCAAATTGTCACATCCCGGCCCGGGGTCCACCACATCCTGGGCCCGCTCCACCACCTTAGCACGACATTATCCGCTTTGGGCCCCGACCACGCCCTCACGGTTTTGTTTTTGGGAACTCACACTAGAACTTCCCAGTGGGTCACCCATCATGGGAGTGCTCTCGCGCGCTACTCACTTAACTTCGGAGTTCCTACGGAACCCGAAACCAGTGAGCTCCCAAAAGACCTTGCGCTAGGTAGAGATGAGAATATACATTTAAGGATCATTCCCCTGGGCGATGTGGGATGTCACAATCCACCCCCCTTAGGGGCCCGACGTCCTCGTCGGCACACCACGGCCAGGGTTAGGCTCTGATACCAAATTGTCACATCCCGGCCCGGGGTCCACTACATCCCGGGCACGCTCCACCACCTTAGCACGATATTGTCCCCTTTGGGCCCCGACCACGCCCTCACGGTTTTGTTTTTGGGAACTCACACGAGAACTTCCCAGTGGGTCACCCATCATGGGAGTGTACTCGCGCGCTACTCACTTAACTTCGGAGTTCCTACGGAACCTGAAGCCAGTGAGCTCCCAAAAGGCCTCGCGCTAGGTATAGAAGGGAATATACATTTAATGATCACTCCCCTGGGCGATGTGGGATGCGCGGATCACTTCCCGGGCCCGCTTCACCACCGTAGCACGATATTGTCCGCTTTGGGCCCCAACCACGCCCTCACGGTTTTGTTTTTGGGAACTCACACGAGAACTTCCCAGTGGGTCACCCATCATAGGAGTGCTCTCGCGCGTTACTCCCTTAACTTCGGAGTTCCTACGGAACCCGAAACCAGTGAGCTCCCAAAAGGCCTCGCGCTAGGTAGAGATGAGAATATACATTTAAGGATCACTCCCCTGGGCGATGTGGGATGTCACAATCCACCCCCTTAGGGGCCCGACGTCCTCGTCGGCACATATGCGACCAAGGTAAGGCTCTGATACCAAATTTTCACATCCCGGCCCGGGACAGATCACTTCCCGGGCCCGCTCCACCACCGTAGCACGATATTGTCCGCTTTGGGCCCCGACCACGCCCTCACAGTTTTGTTTCTGGGAACTCACACGAGAACTTCCCAGTGGGTCACCCATCATGGGATTGCTCCAGCCCCCTTCTCGCTTAACTTCGAAGTTCCAACGGAACTCGAAGCCAGTGAGCTCCCAAAAGGCCTTGCGCTAGATAGAGATGGGAATATACATTTAAGGATCACTCCCCTGGGCGATGTGGGATGTCACAATGTCACTGGTCTCACCGCCATTGTTACAGGCGAGGGAGTTTTCGTTTGCTTCTTCTACTTTTTTTTCAACTATTATTATTTGTTCTTTTGGGAAAATTTTCTTTGGTTCAACATATCGATGTTGCAGGAGCATCTAGTGGTATTGGCACCGAAACCGCACGCGTTTTTGCACTGCGTGGCGCCCATGTGGTTATGGCAGTGAGGAACATGGCAGCCGGTAAAGATGCAAGAGAACAAATAGTGAAGGCAATCCCCAGTGCCAAAGTTGATGCCATGGAACTGGATCTCAGTTCGTTATCATGCGTTAGAAAATTCGCATCGGATTTCAATTCCTCCGGTCTTCCTCTTAACATCCTAATGTAAGAAATGTACAGAAACGGTACAAGTTCTTGAAGAGGCTTAGTTCATAAAATCCACCTCAGGTAACAATACTCGTCTTTTCATACGTAACAATGCAGGAGTTATGGGAACCCCTTTCACGCCTTCGAAGCATGGATGGAGCCAATGAAGGTTCACTGGGGCAGATGCCCCACTTAAGTAATTCATTTGTTTAATTGTAAACTACAATTATATAATATACACGGGTTATCTTTGAAGAAAATATATGTATCTAATATCTAATATACATTCATTCTACTTATACTCTATATCAAATATTATGTGAGCAATAGTGCTCCTGTTCTGTCATTCAAATCAAAAGAACTCTCTCCCACTGATCATGTACGTATGTTTTTCTCATCACTTTGCCACTTTCTACTACTATATTGAAAATTTTGTAACATTGAAATTGTGATAAATCATCATTTGAAACCATCTTTAATATCATATTGCGTATAACCATACTATAATAAGGTTTTCTTAGTTATTTTCGGTTGCTCCTACTAGAAGAAATTTCTGGCTCCGTCTCTGCTTCGAAGGACAAGATCGAACTTCAGTTCGCCACAATCCACGTCGGTATGTCGCATTTGTTACTCTGTAAAACTGACAGTTTAAAGTACAAACAACAACAATAACAACAACAACCAATCATTATCGCACTAAGTAAGGTCAGCTGTATGAATCCTAGAACGTCATTGACAGTTTAAAAAGTATTGTTGGTTAAGTTGTTCTAATTGACTGAATGTTTCTTCCAGTTTAATCTGTAGCCAATCTAGTTTTATACCTTTTAACTGTTGGTGTCGGAGCATATGCATCAATGAGCTCAGCTAACTGTTCATAATTCTTTGATTCGGGAGAGTTGATTTATATCTGTTTGGTTATTTTACTGATTTTGCAGGTCATTTTCTTTTGACAAATCTTTTGTTGGATACTATGAAGAAAACAGCACGCAAAAGCGGCAAAGAAGGGAGAATCGTAAATGTGTCCTCAGAAGCACACCACAACCTATATCCTTAAGAAATTCGTTTTGATAAAATTAACGATCAAGCAGGGTAACATTGAGATAATTCTTAGTTTTTAGATATTTAGATAGTATTATATACGTATTAACGCATAAGTCATATAGGATTTTGATTAAAAGCGGGTGGAGCTTATGCAAGAAAGTTTGGACTTGGATTTTGGTCATATCAGTACTCCTGCACAAGTTAGTCGCGTATTATATTTGTTTTCGGTGTGTTTCCTTGGTTATAGCATATGCTGAATGGAGGGAGTTTGATATGAGTCTAATCTTATCTGCAGGTACAGCAGCTTTCGTGCATATGGCCAATCAAAGCTTGCTAACATTTTGCATGCTAATGACTTGCAAGACGCTTAAAGGTAATCAGCAACGTTAAATCAGCAGAATCGTGATTCTGAAAATACCCGCTCGCTTGCATTGGTCCAATACGTCTGTACTTTTACATGTAGATATAAACACACATTACCTTGTTTTATGTTTATGGCAGTCATGGTGTGTTGAGTGAAGAATGAGCAGATATAACTGCAAACTCGCTTCACCCTGGTGCAATTGTTACCAATCTGTTTCGTTATGGCAGCATTATTAATGGTAAATCACTTCACTAAACCAACTATGTGAGTCTTATTTAAATGTATTCCGATATAATCTGCATACTATCGCTTGTCGAGGAGGTTTGTATTCAGTGTGTGTTCAAAGTGTAAACCTTGAACCATTAGTAAACTTCCCAGCTACAATCGCAGGAACCATTAGTAAAAGTACGGCGCAATCTGCACCCTCTATTTCTCGGTGAATTCTTGGAGTACATACGGGAATTTCATAAGAAATATTCCGCCAATGACTTATATGGATTACCTAAGGCATGTCAGGAAGCCCTCGACCTAGCACTAACTTGCCCTGATGTTGAGCAAATTATCCAGAAAACTTCCGATCCGGCAATGAAAGCTAGGTTCCAGCATATACGTGAGGCTCGAGTCCTCGACCGGCGCCTATTTTGTTCGGGTGCTTATTGATAGACTGATGACATTTTCACTTGACATTCGTTACGAAAAGACCAGAGAAGTTGAAGAGGTATAAGAGAGAACCATGCAGTTAGATTTCTTCGTTTCACTTGAGTGATGATGTACGCTACATACATGATGACGATGATACAACAAAACAGGTAGTGCAAGAATAGAATAGTATGATTAAAATACAATATGAAATAAAGAATATCTAAAATTAAGAATAAACATGATAAAATAAGAATATATATACACACACACACACACACACATAGTACTAAGTTTGAGAAATTTCGGATCTAATAGGTATATTCAGATGTCATCGAAATTTTTCAGAATAAAAAATATTCAGACTAAGAATATAAGTTTTCAATCAAACTTTCACCCCTAAGTAAGAGGGAACAAAAAAAAGAATCTTTATTTTATCTGTTTTTATAAATGTTTTTTTAATAATGTACATACAATTTTATCCTTTTTTTTTTTTTTGCTCAATAATGTAAATTCTTGCATAAAAAACCTGACTAAATTAAATATAATTGATATCCAAGAATTTTACCGTTAATTTCGTTCAAGCATTTTGTAATAAAATATTACACATGTCGTACTATGATGTTAAGATGCAAGTTGTGGAATAGTATTGGTGTGGTTAGTATTGAATTGTTAACATGTCCCTATAAATTGAGCTCGATTGACCCTGAGTTTAAAACCGTGAAGTCCCAAATTGAAACTGAACTAGTTCGGTTCTTTGGTTTGGTTTATTTGTCCTAAAACATTTTGACAAGAATTGGAACGAGGCAAACCAAATAAATCTTATTAGTTTAGTTTTCAATTTTGAGGATAAACTAAGACAAATAGAACCAGGTTTAACTTATTGAAAATGTCACGTCATCTCTAGCCAGACCACGGGAGCGACCGCTCCTAGTGTCTCTCCTCTTGTTCCTGTTGTCCAGGCCTTGGCGGAACAACTGCCAATGTCATCTCATCACCCTGCTGTACCGATACCTGAGGTAGTGGCCGAACCAGCTGCCGCTCCAGCTGTGGCTTTGGAGCCGACCATTGCGCCTGCTTTGGAGGAGACGGTCGCACCTGTCGAGGCATCCCTCATCAAACGACCGACGACCATTCTGGAAGGGGTATGATTCTATTGCTAATGATCTTCTTCATTTATCAGATTTTCAAGTCGTAATAGCTTTTTATTTCAAGACGATGAGAGCGACGGGGGTGACGAGATTCCGCTGACGAGTCGTCCCCGGCCAACCAGATCTACTTCTGCCAATCTTCCCCTTATGGTCGAGGCGGCTGTTCAACCGGATCCTCCTACGGCCGATCGTGGGAAGAGACCCCTGGTTGAGCCTGAGGCGACGACAGAAACACTGCTCCACCACGGGATGAAAACCTCAACATTCCTCATCAAGATGTTACCTCGACTTTTGTAAGGTTCACTCTCTTTTCTTTATTAATTTGATTATGACGCAGCTGAACTCAGGAAAATATTAAATGTCAGGTGCCCGAACGTTCATTTCACCGACAATTCTATGCATCGAATGGTGTGATCTACATTTCCTGGCCACCTCCGTGGCCATCAAATGTAGATAAACTCTATTGGCCGCGTGAATTGAGAAGCAGTCTTAGGCACTGGGCTCGGCCATTAAGTTCTCTAGGTTTGAGCAATGAACCAGAGGACGTGGTCGAAGTCTCCTCTCGACAGGTTTAGAAACAAATTCCCTCTATTATGCATTCCATATAGCTTTCCTTTTGCTAACATTTTCTCTTCATGTGCAGCCTTCGTGGGAGGTCGAGCTCGACGCCTTGATTACAACTACCTTGGAAGTGACTGGCTCTTCAACGACTGCAACCAAACCTTCCGCATCAACGGCCGAACCAGATGTTCTCGTCAAGCTGCAGGAACTGCTATCCCTTTCGGCGTCACAAATTCTTAAGTGCTAGGGCCTCGACTCCGTAGGGGAATATCTGAACGATCTTGCGGCTGATGGTCAGTTAAGCTACGAAGCTATTACTAAAGCATCTTCTGCTCTGGAACGAACTCGAGAATATTTTGATATTTTTGAGGGAGTTCTTCGGGCCGAAGATGACTTGAAAGTTGCGATGGTCGTTCAAGAAGCTTTGCGTCCACGGGACGACATGCTGAAGATGAAAAAGGAAGCGCTGGCTGACCTCGATTGTCATATTGCCAAACTTTAAAACCGGAGATTGGCAATTGCTTCCGAGCTAGTAAGAGATTTCGAGTCGGGCGGCAAATCCTGCCTGACGGAATATGCGGCTAATGTGCAGCTTGTCGAGCAATTGAACATGGCTCGCTAGTATGTGGCACCAGCGTTCTTGAGGTCGAATGGCATGACGACCCATTCGTAGGTATCGAATGCCCCCAGGCAACAGAATGCGGTTTTGTGAATGTCGACTTCAATGATAAAGATCTGATTGTAACCGGCATGACCGTTCATGAAGGACAACATTTCATGATTGGTTGCGGCATCAATTAGTAAATCCGAGATTGGCATTGTGTATTCATCCTTGGGAGTGGCCAGATTTAAATTACAAAAATCGATGCAGATGCGGAGGGCTATGTTGTTCTTTAACACCGGGACGATATTGGCCAACCATTCGACGTACCGAGCGGTCCAAATAAACCCGGCTTTCAAAAGCCAAACTAATTCGTCCTTTATGCTGAGTTGTACTTCTATCAAGAACCGGCATGGGGGTTATCAGAAAGGCTTACACCCCTCTTTGATGCGTAACTCATGTTTGACGAGGTTTCAGTCAAGGCCTGGCATCTCATGATAATTCCACGTGAAACAATCTTTAAATTCATGGAGCAGTTTACAAAGCTCGACCTTCATGGGGGGCAGCAATAACGCACTGATAAACAACGATCGAGGCTCATCTGCTGTGCCAACATTTATTTCTTCCAATAGGTACTTGACCTGGGGCCGATTGTCTTCGAGTTCGGTCGATGCGACCTGAACTTTGTCGAACGATAAAACGGGGCCGTTATCCGCTTCGGCCAAAAATTCTATTAAGTTTATGCCTGAGTGTGGTTGCTTGGCAATGGCATACCAATGAGCCAGCAGATGTTCCATGGTGGATGAAACCACGGCCCGACGCTTTTCTTGTTTGGCAACGTCAGTCATCGGCATTGGTAATTAGATCTGCCAAGCCGAGTCTCGGCGAATCCTGCTATACAGTCTCGGCGACTACCTTGATAGCTTTCTGAACTGAAATTCTGGTCAACCATCCATCCTCATTAAAACCCTGAAGGGTGATGTAGCCGACGTTATCGTCATAATAGCGAGCCTGGATCATGTTGGTTTCAAACGGCTGATTATCGGCTGGATGAACTACAGCCGATTTGCAGTCCCAAAATATGAGAACTTGGTATAGTGATGAAGGGATGTAACTTGTTTGATGAATCCAATCGCGGTCGAGCAATACATTTTAGTCAGTCTTTGAGTCGATTATGAAGAATGTCATTATATGGTTACGACCTGCAACGCTGACTTCTAACAGGAGCACTCATTTTGTTTGAGACTTGTTGATAAAGTTGCTCATCGTTATTTGAGACTTGTTGATAAAGTTGCTCATCGTTATCCCTGATAGTATAAGCTCGTCATTGGAACGGCGTAATGCCTTTATGATGGAAATCGGCATGATGTTGATTGTGGCCTCATAGTCGACAAACACATTGGAAATAGGATATCCCTCAATATGAGCCGTGACGTATAATGGCTTTAGGTGTTGGAGATTAACAGAAGGGGAACGGGGAAACAATTCGGCTAAGGCTGCCTTAAGGTTGTCACCTTTACTGATTTCCCCATCCTCTTCAATAACGATGAAATCCACTTGTGTTGCTTTTTCGGCAAAAACCATAGTGATCTCCATATGCTCGAGGACCGAATGACCCATCGAGTCTTGGTCGTCATCTGCCAGAGTAATAGATGTAGTATCAGTCGTTGGAGTGTATTCAATTGGATTTTTTAGCGCCTCGTTATGTACCGGCTCTTCGAGTACGTGGACTGAATCTATTTCATTCTGGTTATCTACCTCGAGCGTGTTTACTGTCGAAGATTGATTTCGTTCTTGTAGTGCTTTATGGGCTCGTTCTTCGTAGGCGATTCGGTCGTTCCTTGTGTCTAGGTATGTGTCTAAGGGCGCCACACGATTTTCCTCATCGGCCGTAAGGCCGAAAAGAGATACGACCGAGAAAACTTCGAAATGATATCGCAAATGCTGAAGGTCTTCGAGCGAAAAGGGTAACTCGGCGGTGTCTATATCTGTGTATTGGTCGACCTCAAAGCCGAGGACTCAAGCCTCACGTATATCCTGGGTCTTTTACTTGTACCTGTGGGCCGAGTCTCTCAAACACTTGCCGTTGTTGGCCGACATCGAGTTCCTTCAGCGGTTTTGCTGCAGCCGTGGATGGCGGACATGAAGTTGGTGCCAGAGATACTCTCTTTTTAGGTTCAATTCGTGTTTTACAGTGGTCGCACAAAACCATTGATTCATCAGTTTCCTCAAAACTAGATCCTGACATGGATTCAATGAAGGCTGGCCCTGGAGACTCCTTGAGTGGTGCTTTTGAAAATAAATCAAGCTTAAGTCTCAGCTGACCACCCTGCTTGCGGACATGCTGTATCGGCACGAATTCGGCCTTCCCTTTTCCTTTGTTTCTAGGGAGATTAGCATCCACTATACCAATTGTCGTCGAGGGGAAGGGATTGATGTCAACCGCCATCTGTTTCTTAGGGAATTTTAACTTACCCTTCTCAATCCAACTTTGAATCGCATCACGGAACACGACGTAATTATTGGTAGCATGCTTGTTTGAATTATGGTACTTGCAATATGTTTTGCCTTTCAATTCTTCGGCCTTAGGAATGTTGTGTCCTGGCCAAAGCTTAATGATCTTTGCTGCCAACAATTGGTCGAAAATTGCATCGGCCTTGATGATATCAAAAGTGTAAACTTTTGATGTTTTAATCATCTCTTCAGAGGCCAAGCGGGTCTTGGCATCTTTGGAACTGATTTGAGCTAATGCCTTGCAAACGTATGGTTTATCTATCACTATTTCAGCCGCGTCCATATTGGCGTATTGTGGGTCCTCATTTTCGGCCAATGCATAGCTGATCGTGGGATTCTTGTATATTGTTCCCCGAGATGGGGTCTTTGATATTTTTTCCTCTCGAAGCAAATAATCATGCTGCTCAACGTGCTGAGCAAGTTCGTCCATATCTCGAATATTTGCCCCCAAGAATTTCTTTTTGTATTCCACGTCTAGGCCATTTAGGGCGATTCTGACGAATTCAACTTCAGGGAGAGGTACTCGGCACCAATTTCTGGCCGACTTGAACCTTGTTAAGTATTCCATTGGCGATTCATCTGAAGCTTGAGCCATCCTAGCAAACGATGAAACAGACATTTTCATCCTTGGTCGATAGAATTGTTCATGGAATTTCTCGACCAATTCCTCCCAACTCTGGACGGAGTTTGGTGGGAGATTAATGTACCAAGCAAAAGCCGAACCTGTCAGTGAAAATTTGAATAGCCGTAGTTTATGGAAGTCATTATTGACGTCCCCACATTGCGCCGTGAACCAAGCTACATGTTCTAACGAAGATAAGGACGATTCTCCGACGAAAAGACTGAAATCGGGGATCTTGAAGCCTTTAGGGTATTCGAACTTTTCCACATAAGCCGGGTACGGATGAATGAATTTTGGGAATTTCAACCCTTTCTTTAAGGCCGAGTCGATCATTCTTTGGACCTCGATCATATTGACGGATGCCGCTTCTACGCCCTGGTCAGGTCCATCAGATCTATTACTTGATCCGCCTCTTTTTTCCAAGTTAATTGGTTGTAGCCGAGAATATCCCCTTTCGGCTTGTATTGGAACATTCTTAAAAGGAGGTTGTCGAGGTTGGCCGACGTGGCCATCTTCGAAGGATTTACTGACCAATAGTTCAAGCATCATGGTTTGTGTATCATTATTGCTTCGTATTGCGTAAAGTAAATCATTCATTTTTTGGCCAATCGACTGCTTGACCTGCCGAGATTGTTCATTAAGTCGTCTTCGAAGAAACTACCTAGTTGGCGGATCAGAACCTTCCCCACCATCTTCGTCGCAATCTTCCACTATCCATTTGACGAAAATGCATGCCGTTTGGTTGGGAATTTCTGGGTTGCGAGGCTGTCCGCCGAAACAAATTTCCTTCTCTCGGCATGTCACACTTGTAGCCTTGGATGGTGCAACAATGATGGGATTTTGTGCCTGAGACAAATCTTGTCCAGGACCTTGCACTGGTAAGTCAGTTGTTGAGTTTCCCATGATTGTTTTCTTCTTTACGGACCGTGTCTTAATGGTCGTGAACTCCGAAGGTCTAGCACAAGATCCAACCGGGCGTGCCAAAATGTTAACCCTAAAGATGCAAAGCTTATATGGCGCGCAGGCCGAGTAACTAATAAGCTAATTACGTTTTTTGGTTAAATGCGGGGAGTGCCAACTCGTCAGCCGAGCTCGGTCGAGGAGTAAAATTTGTTGATGTTACGTTGAGCGCGTTGCTGACTTCTTTATCTTGCGACTGCAGCCGAGGAAGGAACAAATTTCGGCCTTTGGATTCTCGAGCCTGAAGACAAGGCTGCTAGTTCTGCGAAGTTCAATATCAAATTCGACTCTCAGGGTGCCGAATGTAGTAACCTGGTAATACCTCACTTTGCCGAGAAGGCTAATGAGATGACCTCTGCTAATAAGGATTCGAAAATCCTTCTCGACTGAGACTTAGATAGATAACCAGTCGGCCTCAACGCAATGCTGTTTATCCAAACTGAAGATGCTTTGGGAACGGCTGATTCTACGGCAACAGTGTTGTTTATCCAAATTGAAGATGTTCGCCGATTGCCTTCACAATGCGGTTGATTCTACGGCAACAATGTTGTTTATCCAAATTGAAGATGTTCGCCGATTGCCTTCACAGTGCTGTTTATCCAAATTGAAGATATGTCAGCGGAAAAAATAAAATAAAAAAAATCTCAAGATGTTTGAGAAGTTTTGCGCATGACGGTTGTGTGTTGAATTTGAGGTCTTTCAATTGTTGCATGAGGTCTTGTATTTATAGCACCAAATCCTCCTTGAGATCGAGTCACAATCATATCTGGATTGGGACTTCTTGTTCTGTTCCAACTTTACTTCAACCAGTCCTACCCCTATTAGGACTTTGAACAACTTAACCAACAATACTTTTTAAACTGTTAATTGCATTCTAGGATTCATACAGCCGACCCTACTTAGTACGATAAGGGTTGGCTGTTGTGGTTGTTGTTGTTTGTACTTTAAACTGCCAGTTTGACAGAGTAACAAATGCAACATACCTACGTGGTTTGTGGCGAACTAAAGTTCAATCTTGTCCTTCGAAAGCATGAAAGGGGTTCCCATAACTCCTGCATTGTTACTTACGAAAAGACAAGCTATTATTACCTGAGGTGGATTTTATGAACTAAGCCTCTTCAAGGACTTGTACCATTTCTGTCCATTTCTTACATTAAAATGTTAAGAGGAAGACCGGAGGAATTGAAATCCGATGTGAATTTCCTAACGGATGATAACGAACTGAGATCCAATTCCATGGCATCAACTTTGGCAGTGGGGATTGCCTTCACTATTTGTTCTCTTGCATCTTTATCGGCAGCCATGTTCCTCACTGCCATAACCACATGGGCGCCACGCAGTGCAAGAACGCGTGCGGTTTCGGTGCCAATACCACTCGATGCTCCTGCAACATCAATATGCAGAACCAAGGAGCATTTTCCCATAAGAATACGGAATAATAGTTGAAGAAAGTATACCATCTGCATATGAAACTTAAAGAAAGAAGAAGCAAATGGAAATTCCCACACCTGTAACAATGGCGGTGAGACCAGTGGCATCAATCCCTTCAGTAACTTCTTCTGCTGTGGAAGATGATGAGAACCCATATGGCCCTTTTCTTCTGAAGAACCACACCTTCTTCTGCTCTCTCACACTCTCTCTCTGCATGCAAAGAGATGGGAAAGTGGTTTTTACTGAGTTTTGACGTAGTGTTTTCTTTTCTTTGCTTTGGTGGTGGGTGCCTCGATGTCGCCTCTTTGGCCTATTATGTTTTTAGTGTCACAATTTTTTGATAAACTGATGTTATCCACACACATCTTTGTTATTTTATGACATTTGATTTTTTTTAATTTATTTAATTTGATGGTCGAATATTAAGAGATATGCATGACAAGTAAGAAAGGGTGTGTGATACACCACTCTTTAGATATACACAAAGTTTGAAAATGTCAATTTAATTACCACAACTATCCTCATCTTATTCTTAATTTGGTGAAGATTACCGTTGCTTCAAATTTAAGCACATTACAACATAGTGAAAGGATTGAAATGAATTTTGTTGTTCACCATTTGGCTTATTTTCGTTTATCTTGTAATTTGGATTTAAATCTTTTGGAACAAACTCCACTGTCTTGTACACTGTTGCTAGTTATTGACATAACTTGCTGAGATTGTTTGGCCTTATGATATTTTCAATAGGTTGGACATCTATGTTTAACAACGGAATTTTGTTTGAAGATGAAATTCCTAAACTTGATACAAGATATCAAACGAAAAGCAATCTTAAATCAAAATGACAAGGTTACGAGCAGAAAAAAGGAGTTTATTCACTTTGAAAGGATATTGTTCAACTTCTGATTTATAAGTAACAGCATTCTTGAAGTCTATTATTCAAACAACAAACAAACTATGAATTATCTCAATGTTACCCTGCTTGGTCGTTAATTTTATCAAAACGAATTTCTTCAGGATACGGGTTGTGGTGAGCTTCTGAGGACACATTTACGATTCTCCCTTCTTTGCCGCTTTTGCGTGTTGTTTTCTTCATAGTATCCAACAAAAGATTTGTCAAAAGATTACCTGCAAAATCAGTAAAATAACCAAACAGATGCAAATCAACTCTCCCGAATCAAAGAATTATGAACAGTTAGCTGAGCTCATTGATGCATATGCTCCGACACCAACAGTTAAAAGGTATAAAACTAGATTGGCTACAGATTAAACTGGAAGAAACATTCAGTCAACTAGAACAACATAACCATCAATACTTTTTAAATTGTCAATGACGTTTTAGGATTCATACAGCTGACCCTACTTAGTGCGATAAGGGTTGGTTGTCATTGTTGTTGTTGTTTGTACTTTATACTGTCAGTTTTACAGAGTAACAAATGCGACATACCTACGTGGTTTGTGGCAAACTGAAGTTCAATCTTGTTCTTTGAAGTAGGGACAGAGCCAGAAATTTCTTTTAGTAGGAGCAACCGAAAATAACTAAGAAAACCTTATTATAGTATGATTATACGTAATATGATATTAAAGATGGTTTCAAATGATGATTTATCACAATTTCAATGTTACAAAAATTTCAATATAGAAGTAGAAAGTGGCAAAGTGATGAGAAAAATATACGTACATGATAGGTGGGAGAGGGTTTTTTTCGATTTGACTGACAGAACAAGAGCATTATTGCTCATATAATATTTGATATGGAGTATAAGTAGAATGAATGTATATTAGATATTAGATACATATATTTTCTTCAAAGATAACTCGTGTATATTATATAATTGTAGTTTACAATTAAACAAATGAATTACTTAAGTAGAGCATCTGCCCCCAGTGAAGCTTCATTGGCTTCGTCCATACTTCAAAGGCGTGAAAGGGGTTCCCATAACTACTGCATTGTTACTTATGAAAAGACTAGTATTATTACATGAGGTGGATTTTATGAACTAAGCCTCTTCAAGAACTTGTACCGTTTCTGTGCATTTCTTACATTAGGATGTTAAGAGGAAGACAGGAGGAATTGAAATCCGATGCGAATTTTTTAACGCATGATAACGAACTAAGATCCAGTTCCCTCTCCCTCCCTCTCTCTAGGCCTGGCAAACGGGTTGTGTCTGTCGTGTTCGTGTTATTTTTATATAACACTTGTTATCTTAACGGGTCGTGTCGTGTCACATCCGTTATCTTAACGGGTCCTTAACAGGTCAGGTCACTTTACCTAACCGGTTATGACCCGTTAAGAAAAATATAATTTTTTTTCTTAAATTTACACATACCACACATTGCCACATAAATATTATTGTCATTTAAGTACTATATCTACACTTGAAAGTAAGAGTCTAATAAAAAAACATATATACACTACTAGTTTACTACAAAATATTAAATGTGCAAGGATATGTAAAATGAAAGAGTTTTTGTTTTCAAGGTTATGAAGTTTTTCTCAAAAGTTTAAACCTTACCAATGGAACTCAAAGCTTGCATGTTATTCCTTTTACAAAATCCTCAATTTTCATCGATCATCATGAGAAAATTGTATTCGAACTTTGGCTTGATCTATTGCCTTCAAGAGTTATGTTGATCGTGTTTTCAGTAAGATTTTCCACGTCAGAACTCTCTTCCGCATAAACTAAGTATAAAAAACCAAACATTAAAAACCATTCAAATTATGAAAAGTTTACCAAAATAATTATGAAAAGAAATAAAACAATAGTATTATACCATATAAAAATATATTAGCCTCCAACCTAATGCACAATGGACGGCTGAGATTATATCTCAACCGATCCAATGGTCACCAATTTTTTAAAATTTAATTTAATATATATTTATATAATTATTATAGTTTTTAGGGGTATAAAATTGTTAAATTAATATATATAATTATTAGAGTATTTTTTTAGGGTTATAAAATTATAAAATTAATATTTTACTTATCGTGCATTGTGTTACTCATGTGAATACCCAAACCAACTCATTATCTTAACAAATGCTTCTCGGGTTACCCGATAATAACCCGATTCGTTATCGTGTCCCCGAACACTTGTTAATTTCATGTCGTGTCGTGTCGAGTTATTGGGTTGTGTCAGAAATTTCTAGACCTACCTCTCTCCCTCTGCACGCAAAGAGAAGGGAAAGTCTCTAAGTGCGGTTTTTAGTGATAGTTTTGGTGAAGTGTTATTTTCTTTGCTTTGGTGGTGGAGCCTCTGTAGCCTATATTGTCTTTCGTGTCTAATTTTTGGACACAAAGTTTGGAAAGGTCAATTTAATTAGCACAACTATCATCATCTTATTCACAAATTTATTGTTCACGAGTTGACTTATTTGGGTTTATCTTGTAATTTGGATTTAATTTTGTTTTGCAAACTCCACCGTCTTGTACAATGTTTCCGGTTATTGTCATAGCTTGTTGAAATTGTTTGGCATCGTGACATTTTCAATAAGTTGAACCTGGTTCTATTTGTCTTAGTTTATCCTAAAAATTGAAAACTAAACTAATAAGATTTATTCGGTTTGCCTCATTCCAATTCTTGTCAAAATGTTTTAGGACAAACAAACCAAACCAAAGAACCGAACTAGTTCAATTTCAATTTGGGACTTCACGGTTTTAAACTCAGGGTCAATCGAGCTCAATTTATAGGGACATGTTAACAATTCAGTACTAACCACACCAATACTATTCCACAACTTGCATCTTAACATCATAGTACGACAAGTGTAATATTTTATTACAAAATGCTTGAACGAAATTAACGGTAAAATTCTTGAATATCAATTATATTTAATTTAGTTAGGTTTTTTATGCAAGAATTTACATTATTGAGCAAAAAAAAAAAAGGATAAAATAGTACGTACATTATTAAAAAAACATCTATAAAATAAAGATTCTTTTTTTGTTCCCTCTTGCTTAGGGGTGAAAGTTTGATTGAAAATTTCTATTCTTAGTCTGAATATTTTTTATTCTGAAAAATTTCGATGACATCTGAATATACCTATTAGATCCGAAATTTCTCAAACTTAGTACTATATATATAAGCATGCATATTCTTATTTTATCATGTTTATTCTTAATTTTAGATATTCTTTATTTCATATTGTATTTTAATCATACTATTATATATTAAAAATGACATAGCTTGTTGAAATTGTTCCGCCTTGCGATATTTTCAGTAGGTTGGGCATTTATGTTTAACATAGTATAATGTTGTCTTGCACTACCTGTTTTGTTCTATTATCGTCATCATGTATGTAGTGTACATCATCACTCAAGTGAAACGAAGAAATCTAACTACATGGTTCTCTCTTATACCTTTTCAAGTTCTCTGGTCTTTTCGTAATGAATGTTAAGTGAAAATGTCATCAGTCCATCAATAAGCACCCGAACAACGGCATTTTGTTTCGAAGATGAAATTCCTAAACTTGATACAAGATATCAAACGAAAAGTAATCTCGAATCAAAACAACTAGGGTTCGAGCAGAAAAAAGGAGTTTATTCACCTTGAAAGGATATTGTTCAACTTCTGAGTTATAAGTTACATCATTCTTGGAGTCTATTATTCAAACAACAAACCACCACCACTAAGCATGATCCCAGTAAGTGAGATTGGCTATATGAATCTTAGAACGACAGCGCAAAGCGCATTCTTTTTAAGTCTTTATATAGAGTTGAAGTTTTCAGAAGATCATTTAGTAAAATCCATGTTGAAATCCCATAGTTTCTTTGCCATCTCCGCGTCTTGACCTTGTCGACTTGGCTTGGATAGGTTACTGTCCCAAAAATATTCGCCCGTCACCCCCTCGACTTGTGGATGCAGTGCCACATAGCACGTCGTTGCAGCTCCCTGTAATCGACAAAGTTAATAAACAACACGACATTCTACGTTTGAACGACTATTTGAAAGTTCATCATATTTCGAATTACTCAAATTCGCTTGGTATGTTGTTTGCTCTAGAGGTTCAAGCAGATGTAACTTACCTGCTTAACATTTTTAAACACAGCTCTACCAAGCACTTTGACAAACCCTGCATCAAACCAGAAAACCAAACGTCTGATTATCCGAAACTAAGCACGTAGATAATGAACGTGTAAATTTGAGATTTGTAGATAGACATCAATTTTGGTTCGGTTTAAACTTCAAACATACACTCAACACAAAGCCTCC